CTCACCTTTATAAGAAGATTGGTTTGCTGCAAATGGGAAGGAAGGAAACGGATCGAGTACGCCCATTCCGTTATAAGGACGAGGTATGTGGGACAAATGGAGCCATGGTACGTAGCGAGTAAAATGGTTAAATGATTACCATGTCAACGGCGTAGTCGAGATGAAAATAGCTAAAAGTGAAGCAGAAAATTCGAGTGTTCGCTGGTGAACTCACTGTGATGCTTATATGATAGCAATAATAGCTCCAGAAGTTATGAAAACATGTTCGACTGCGTTATGTAACCTGATTAACACAACGTATATAAAGAAATGTGGATGATGCAATGAGTCCGATAACTTGGGAGCAGAAATAACGCACGGAGAGAGGAGATTCCACGGTTAGTACATAGGAAAACAGAGGAATCGAAGGAAACAAATATCCAGTCACAGTATTCTAAAATGTGGATATTTGGAGGACATTCAGATGGATCCTTCAGCTGCATGTATTCGAAAAGCAGAGTTGATACTGAAACATGTTTCATGGATCAATGATGACTGCTAGGTGCACTTAGACTGTTGCTTTCGAGGAAGAAGAAAGTTGGCAGTGTATACGATAAGAAAAGAAACCGTGAGGATAAATTTGCACTTTGGTTGACTAAAATGTAGGGTTAAGCGAACACTCCATGTTTCTGTGTTAGTTAAAAGATAAACAACCGAGTCAGATGACAAAATATGAAAAACCAACACCCAAGTATAATCCATCTACCAGTGTTCAGGCCAAACACCCACTGCCAAGTGCAACTCAAGGGATAATCGACTTCGAGTTCAGTCACTGCAATCAGAAGATATATGGGCAGCACACATAACATTAGTATGGAAAAGAAACGGCAAACCACGTATCCTTTCTGACTTTTCAACCGGCTTAAATCCCATGTTGAAAAGTCATCAGTATCCCTAACCTAAACCTCACATTCTGTTCACCAAGGTTAACGGTGATAAATGGTTTGCGAAACTGGATCTAGCAGCTGATGCTCATCTACAAGTTCCGGTGGCCAATGATTGCAGAAAATTACTGACAGTCAACATGCATCTTGGGCTCTTCCAGTATAATCGTCTGCCCTTCAGAGTGAAAACAAACCATGGATACGCCTGCGGCTGCACTATACCTGGATGATGCCTTGACTATGGGTTCAAGTTTATAAATTTTGCTACATACCAGAGAAAGTGCTCTCACGGTTAGAAGAAGCAGGCAACAGTCACGATTAGAAAAAGCAATTTCCTCATGAAGTGTCAAATTTCTGAGACTCGTCACCGAAAAATATGATCGGCGTCCGGATCACGCGAACGTAAAAGCAGTCAAACAGATAACACCACCAAAAGATGTTGCCGAACTTCGTTCATTTTTTCGTCTGGGCAATCATTTTAGTGCTTTCACACCAAGCCTTCATCAGACAAGCGGTCCACTGAACGGGTTACTGATGAAATGGACAAAATGGAGATGGGTCAAGGAATGCCAACAATCCTTGAGGCAACGCTTAGTTCTGACTTACTACTAATTTGCTTCAAGGCGAAATCTTACGAAATGTTCCCTTCGTTTTTCTCATCTCTGACATCCCATTCCTAGGTGTTGATTTTCTCGACAAGTTCGGCCTCATCGTGGAACTGCGTAATCGTAAACTGCACGACAGTCTGACGTCCGTGTCCGTTTCAGGCAAAGTCACTTCGATCAGCTCGATCGGTCATCGCTTGACAGTACCCACCGACAACGTGGTAACCGAACTACCTTTGCAGTTTCCTTCCCTTTACCAGTCGTCCAACGACTTACCTGAGCATAAGCACGAAATCACGCATCACATTAACCAGTAACCGCTCGACCTCGGCGACTATCTCCAGACAAGCTCGCTACTGCTAAGGCAGAATTCGAACATATGCATCGTCTCGGTATCGTTCGTCCTTGGTCGTCCCCGCTTCATATGGTTCCCAAAAAGTCCAGTGGTGACTGGAGACCGTGTGCAGATTACCGGGCACTAAACAATGCCACTGTCCCTGACAGACATCCGATTCCCACATTCATGATTTCTAAACTCGTCTGCAAAGAACGATTTTCTCTGAGATCGGTTTAGTACGTGCCTGCTACCAAATTCCGGTTGCCTCCGACAATATTCCGAAGACCGCTATAACCACACCACTTGGTCTCTATGAATTAATTCACATGCCGACCGGTAGTGGCTAATAGACAGATGGGCACCTTGTCAACATGCATATCAAGCGCAGCCACACCGGGGATATCAAACAACAGCCATTAACTTGAAGTAACATTATCAAATAAAAATATATCTGTTAAAGCATACGGATATGCAGACATAACTATTCGCTAAATTAGCACATGAAGTAAGTTGGTTAGTAATGAAACCGCGATAACTACAAAATGTCCACAAGTTATGCAGAAAATTGCTACAAACGCAATAAAGTTAACGAAGATAACCACAATTAGTGTAAACATCGTGTGTAAGTTAACAGAAGACTATTCAGGTAATAATAAAAATAATGCATATTTTCGGTTTTACGAAGCATGCTCTGTTCGACATCATCATATTTTTACCTTCGTTTCGCATCGTTTAACAGCATATTTCATATGTCAGAACGAGCTTAACAAGGTGGAATGAAATCTATCCAGCTTAAAAAGGCCTAGTTTAAGTGTAAGTTGGTTTAGACCAACTGAGGTGAAGGAGCATTTCGAGTGCAACATCAGCCTCAGCATGGGGCACAATTGGTTGGCAGCATCCGGTTTGCATGTCACTGTGGCCAGCCACAGGACGCCTACGTCTATTGAGGGACCATCCAAACACCCCATATCCAGTGTAAACGCGAAGGGCACAATTACATATGTATATACACCCATACACATACATTCACGGTTATGCCAAACATGTAGTTTTGTACATTTTCGATTACACTATGGTATCTTAACATGAGCATGCCTGTAAAGGTGTGCCTCGCATTGTCGAGAATAAAAGGCAAATGTGCGCTTGTTCCTTTTTAACCTGGACCGCCTGAGTTCTGTTAGTGAGACAAATATACAAAAAGCAGGGAGTTGTCGATGCCATATACAGTTAGTTTGGATAAGCGATGAGCATGCGCAGTGTGACCAAATGCTTTTGGAATGTCAAGAGAGACCGCTAAAGATGATGAACCGCGGTCAAGCGAAGTAATCAGAAGATCGAATTGTTCTGACAAGTTATGCAGAAACAAAAACTAAGGAGTCCGCCTTGTGGGATGTTGTTTAGAGTGGCATAGGTGAAACGGTGATTTTCATCGCCCAGCGTAACAGTAGTAATCTTGATAGGCAAGTGAGAGGACGAGGATGTTGCATGCAGCATTGGACTGTCAACGACAAAATCAAAAAAAGAAAGAAAGTGAGGACCGGAAAGACAAAGGAAACATGAAATACAGAAATCAAGGTATTAGCCAGGATAAGCTGATTCATGGTGGACGAAATGAAAATCGTGCGACATGAAAAACGAATGAACTCACCGATGGTAAACGGACGAATCTGGAAAGAAAGCTGTACCAAAACTAAACAAATAGTAGGAAAAGTCAGACGGATAAATCGATCAAGCACTCATATGAGGTGTCGAGAGATCATCATTGCAAAGTGAAGTACAGAACTTACTAGACTTTATGTCTATTGGTTTATCACCAACGTCTGTTGGTTAGCAGTAAACAGATGATGATAGAGCATGGAAATATTTGGGTGTTGCTCTTCCCAAAACTGGCACAATGATGATAGAGAAGTCTGCTCAACAGCACGATAGCCTAGGCCTCCGGTTGGTAATCTACAAGCCAGCAGATCGAGTCTGTGTAGATGAGAGCGGCCTCGTATAGGCGATTAGTGGTGGTCGCGTAGCAGCGAGATAGTCGGTACAACGTACTGTTGATACTTCTCTCCTCTCTCAGCGACACGAATCCAGGGCGCCTCAGAATCAGCAAACTGGTCACGGAATAGATCAGGAAATGAACCGTAAAAGAGACGCGATTTACACTCCATTGGGTCCACATAGCATGGCTACGAAGCATCTCCCCATACTGCACGGGCATACCGTTCCGGTAAAATGGGTTGAGGCGGACGCAGCGGAAAACTTTGTCGAACGCTCTTCTAACATCGAGGAACAAACCCATCACCGGTCTGCGTTACATGTGACGATGTTCCAACACCTGTCGCAGTTGGCGGGTTGTAAACTCATCCGAGTAGAATGTGAGAACCGGTTCCTGAGACGGACAACCAAAGAGATTCAGGAACATTTGTTAGCTGTGGATGATCAAGAAGTTCTGCTGCAAGTGTACAGTGTAGGTATATCATGCATCCACCTCCTTTGCCTGTGCCGCGATCTTTTCGGAAGAGCTGATACTTACGAATCATTAAGGTGGAGTCTAGTGTATCGGGACAGCACTACATTCCAGTAACGAGGATTGCTTGTGGATTGTTGATATGCGCAAGCATGCCTGGGAAGTGTAATTTGTTGTTAATAGACCTGGCATTATGTAGAAGTATAGTAAACGGACGATTGGATATGGGGTTATCGTGTTGCGGTTCAGTTATACGCGTTGTTGTAGTCAGATATTTTGGACGCAGGAGATATGACTGGGATTACTGGGGTCGGGTCTACTCTTAACAGGTGTGGTAATTTGGGTAACATGTCATTTGTGATTGCCCATATTGGTGTGGACATGCAGGTGGTTGAGGGAGCAAGTTTAATTTGCGATTGGTGTGGCAGCTGGCTAGCCGAGTAATCTGCAAAAAATGCAAGAACAATGGGAACAGGTAGTTGGCTTCTGCCGATTGTGTAAGCAGTGGGAATGGCCGCGATTTTATTCCCTCCTGTACTAAAATGGGTCATACTGAGGAGTGTTAGAAAGGGATGCACACATATGAGACGGGATGGGAGGTGGCCTTGGCTTCGTGGCATAGTTTATTCCATCATTACTTAGCTTGTTTTTATGGTATGGGAGGAATTTATGGCGAGGGGTATCCACAAGACTTTTGTTTCTGGTTCTTGTTGGCTCAGGATGTTGCTTTATAAAATGTTTTTGCTATGTAAGTTGGTAGATCTTGTTAGTTTCTACCGTGTTCATCACAGTCTCAAATCTTTTGTTGGATCCGGTGAATGGCTGTGAGCTTTCTACATTATTGGATTGACTGCCCATGGGGATCCTTTGGGCGTTGAGTTCAGCTGGCGACAGCTATAGGGCCCTTGATAGTCAACTCTTCCCAATGGTTAGAAGTTACTCCATCATTTATTAACGAGGAAATCAATTCAGTCGGTTCACAGGCGTCAAGCTTAGGGTGGGGGTAGGTAGTAGGAGTTGGCTTAGGTGACATTGCAGTATCGTCAGGAACAATGGTGACCGAGGTCCTTATCATATCAAATGAGCTGTCGAGATTCACCTCAAGGTGCCCAGTTGCCACATTAGATAAATTATCTTTGAGCTTTGGTCTGAGTAGCCGTTTGAGCCAGTACTTGTGACGAAATATCACTAATGGATCTTTGTAGAGGTGTGTGATCTGGTTTAATCAAAAGGTCTTTGAATTGGGTCCACTGGGCTATAGTGAGCTGATTACTCAACAATCAGTTCGTGGATTCCACAGTTGAAAATTTAAAAACGATCGGGCAGCAGGGTTTAGGCGATTTCTGCTTCAAACGAAAGCAATTGCATTTAATCTCGGACATGTCGTACGCCGTAAGCGCTACAGTTTTAACTGTACCAAACTAAGTCTACCAGAAATGTTAAAAAAACGACCACATTTCGTTCATGTACCTCAGACGCAAACGTTTGAGTACACAAGTTCAGTCGGGAAAGGGTTGCGACCGAGTCTGAAATAAAAAGTACAAGAGTCAGAAGAGTAAATTAAAGTTGGAAAAGACAATCAGAGACGCGAAAAATCACTTTGATCAGGTGACACGCAAATTCATCCGTTTAGTCTCACCTTTATAAGAAGATTGGTTTGCTGCAAATGGGAAGGAAGGAAACGGATCGAGTACACCTATTCCGTTATAAGGACGAGGTATGTGGGACAAATGGAGCCATGGTACGTAGCGAGTAAAATGGTTAAATGATTACCATGTCAACGGCGTAGTCGAGATGAAAATAGCTAAAAGTGAAGCAGAAAATTCGAGTGTTCGCTGGTGAACTCACTGTGATGCTTATATGATAGCAATAATAGCTCCAGAAGTTATGAAAACATGTTCGACTGCGTTATGTAACCTGATTAACACAACGTATATAAAGAAATGTGGATGATGCAATGAGTCCGATAACTTGGGAGCAGAAATAACGCACGGAGAGAGGAGATTCCACGGTTAGTACATAGGAAAACAGAGGAATCAAAGGAAACAAATATCCAGTCACAGTATTCTAAAATGTGGATATTTGAGGGACATTCAGGTGGATCCATCAGCTGCATGTATTCGAAAAGCAGAGTTGATACTGAAACTTGTTTCATGGATCAATGATGACTGCTAGGTGCACTTAGACTGTTGCTTTCGAGGAAGAAGAAAGTTGGCAGTGTATACGAAAAGAAAAGAAACCGTGAGGATAAATTTGCACTTTGGTTGACTAAAATGTAGGGTTAAGCGAACACTCCATGTTGCTGTGTTAGCTAAAAGATAAACAACCGAGTCAGATGACAAAATATGAAAAAACAACACCCAAGTATAATCCATCTACCAGTGTTCAGGCCAAAACACCCAATGCCAAGTGCAACTCAAGGGATAATCGACTTCGAGTTCAGTCAACTGCAATCAGAAGATATATGGGCAGCACACATAACATTAGTATGGAAAAGAAACGGCAAACCACGTATCCTTTCTGACTTTTCAACCGGCTTAGATCCCATGTTGAAAAGTCATCAGTATCCCTAACCTAAACCTCACATTCTGTTCACCAAGGTTAACGGTGATAAATGGTTTGCGAAACTGGATCTAGCAGCTGATGCTCATCTACAAGTTCCGGTGGCCAATGATTGCAGAAAATTACTGACAGTCAACATGCATCTTGGGCTCTTCCAGTATAATCGTCTGCCCTTCAGAGTGAAAACAAACCATGGATACGACTGCGGCTGCACTATACCTGGATGATGCCTTGACTATGGGTTCAAGTTTATAAATTTTGCTACATACCAGAGAAAGTGCTCTCACGGTTAGAAGAAGCAGGCAACAGTCACGATTAGAAAAAGCAATTTCCTCATGAAGTGGCAAATTTCTGAGACTCCTCACCGAAAAATATGATCGGCGTCCGGATCACGCGAACGTAGAAGCAGTCAAACAGATAACACCACCAAAAGATGTTGCCGAACTTCGCTCATTTTTTCGTCTTGGCAATCATTTTAGTGCTTTCACACCAAGCCTTCATCAGACAAGCGGTCCACTGAACGGGTTACTGATGAAATGGACAAAATGGAGATGGGTCAAGGAATGCCAACAATCCTTGAGGCAACGCTTAGTTCTGACTTACTATTAATTCGCTTCAAGGCGAAATCTTACGAAATTTTCCCTTCGTTTTTCTCATCTCTGACATCCCATTCCTAGGTGTTGATTTTCTCGACAAGTTCGGCCTCATCGTGGACCTGCGTAATCGTAAACTGCACGACAGTCTGACGTCCGTGTCCGTTTCAGGCAAAGTCACTTCGATCAGCTCGATCGGTCATCGCTTGACAGTACCCACCGACAACGTGGTAACCGAACTACCTTTGCAGTTTCCTTCCCTTTAACACTCGTCCAACGACTTACCTGAGCCTAAGCACGAAATCACGCATCACATTAACCAGTAACCGCTCGACCTCGGCGACTATCTCCAGACAAGCTCGATACTGCTAAGGCAGAATTCGAACATATGCATCGTCTCGGTATCGTTCGTCCTTGGTCGTCCCCGCTTCATATGGTTCCCAAAAAGTCCAGTGGTGACTGGAGACCGTGTGCAGATTACCGGGCACTAAACAATGCCACTGTCCCTGACAGACATCCGATCCCCACATTCATGATTTCTAAACTCGTCTGCAAAGAACGATTTTCTCTGAGATCGGTTTAGTACGTGCCTGCTACCAAATTCCGGTTGCCTCCGACAATATTCCGAAGACCGCTATAACCACACCACTTGGTCTCTATGAATTAATTCACATGCCGACCGGTAGTGGCTAATAGACAGATGGGCACCTTGTCAACATGCATATCAAGCGCAGCCACACCGGGGATATCAAACAACAGCCATTAACTTGAAGTAACATTATCAAATAAAAATATATCTGTTAAAGCATACGGATATGCAGACATAACTATTCGCTAAATTAGCACATGAAGTAAGTTGGTTAGTAATGAAACCGCGATAACTACAAAATGTCCACAAGTTATGCAGAAAAGTGCTACAAACGCAATAAAGTTAACGAAGATAATCACAATTAGTGTAAACATCGTGTGTAAGTTAACAGAAGACTATTCAGGTAATAATAAAAATAATGCATATTTTCGGTTTTACGAAGCATGCCCTGTTCGACATCATCATATTTTTACCTTCGTTTCGCATCGTTTAACAGCATATTTCATATGTCAGAACGAGCTTAACAAGGTGGAATGAAATCTATCCAGCTTAAAAAGGCCTAGTTTAAGTGTAAGTTGGCTTAGACCAACTGAGGTGAAGGAGCATTATGAGTGCAACATCAGCCGCAACATGGGGAACAATTGGTTGGCAGCATCCGGTTTGCTTGTCACTGTGGCCAGCCACAGGACGCCTACGTCTATTGAGGGACCATCCAAACACCCCATATCCAGTGTAAACCCGAAGGGCACAATTACATATGTATATACACCCATACACATACATTCACGGTTATGCCAAACATGTAGTTTTGTACATTTTCGATTACACTATGGTATCTTAACATGAGCATGCCTGTAAAGGTGTGCCTCGCATTGTCGAGAATAAAAGGCAAATGTGCGCTTGTTCCTTTTTAACCTGGACCGCCTGAGTTCTGTTAGTGAGACAAATATACAAAAAACAGGGAGTTGTCGATGCCATATACAGTTAGTTTGGATAAGCGATGAGCATGCGCAGTGTGACCAAATGCTTTTGGAATGTCAAGAGAGACCGCTAAAGATGATGAACCGCGGTCAAGCGAAGTAATCAGAAGATCGAATTGTTCTGACAAGTTATGCAGAAACAAAAACTAAGGAGTCCGCCTTGTGGGATGTTGTTTAGAGTGGCATAGGTGAAACGGTGATTTTCATCGCCCAGCGTAACAGTAGTAATCTTGATAGGCAAGTGAGAGGACGAGGATGTTGCATGCAGCATTGGACTGTCAACGACAAAATCAAAAAAAGAAAGAAAGTGAGGACCGGAAAGACAAAGGAAACATGAAATACAGAAATCAAGGTATCAGCCAGGATAAGCTGATTCATGGTGGACGAAATGAAAATCGTGCGACATGAAAAACGAATGAACTCACCGATGGTAAACGGACGAATCTGGAAAGAAAGCTGTACCAAAACTAAACAAATAGTAGGAAAAGTCAGACGGATAAATCGATCAAGCACTCATATGAGGTGTCGAGAGATCATCATTGCAAAGTGAAGTACAGAACTTACTAGACTTTATGTCTATTGGTTTATCACCAACGTCTGTTGGTTAGCAGTAAACAGATGATGATAGAGCATGGAAATATTTGGGTGTCGCTCCTCCCAAAACTGGCACAATGATGATAGAGAAGTCTGCTCAACAGCACGATAGCCTAGGCCTCCGGTTGGTAATCTACAAGCCAGCAGATCGAGTCTGTGTAGATGAGAGCGGCCTCGTATAGGCGATTAGTGGTGGTCGCGTAGCAGCGAGATAGTCGGTACAACGTACTGTTGATACTTCTCTCCTCTCTCAGCGACACGAATCCAGGGCGCCTCAGAATCAGCAAACTGGTCACGGAATAGATCAGGAAATGAACCGTAAAAGAGACGCGATTTACACTCCATTGGGTCCACATAGCATGGCTACGAAGCATCTCCCCATACTGCACGGGCATACCGTTCCGGTAAAATGGGTTGAGGCGGACGCAGCGGAAAACTTTGTCGAACGCTCTTCTAACATCGAGGAACAAACCCATCACCGGTCTGCGTTACATGTGACGATGTTCCAACACCTGTCGCAGTTGGCGGGTTGTAAACTCATCCGAGTAGAATGTGAGAACCGGTTCCTGAGACGGACAACCAAAGAGATTCAGGAACATTTGTTAGCTGTGGATGATCAAGAAGTTCTGCTGCAAGTGTACAGTGTAGGTATATCATGCATCCACCTCCTTTGCCTGTGCCGCGATCTTCTCGGAAGAGCTGATACTTACGAATCATTAAGGTGGAGTCTAGTGTATCGGGACAGCACTACGTTCCAGTAACGAGGATTGCTTGTGGGTTGTTGATATGCGCAAGCATGCCTAGGAAGTGTAATTTGTTGTTAATAGACCTGGCATTATGTAGAAGTATAGTAAACGGACGATTGGATATGGGGTTATCGTGTTGCGGTTCAGTTATACGCGTTGTTGTAGTCAGATATTTTGGACGCAGGAGATATGACTGGGATTACTGGGGTCGGGTCTACTCTTAACAGGTGTGGTAATTTGGGTAACATGTCATTTGTGATTGCCCATATTGGTGTGGACATGCAGGTGGTTGAAGGAGCAAGTTTAATTTGCGATTGGTGTGGCAGCTGGCTAGCCGAGTAATCTGCAAAAAATGCAAGAACGATGCGAACAGGTAGTTGGCTTCTGCCGATTGTGTAAGCAGTGGGAATGGCCGCGATTTTATTCCCTCCTGTACTAAAATGGGTCATACTGAGGAGTGTTAGAAAGGGATGCACACATATGAGACGGGATGGGAGGTGGTCTTGGCTTCGTGGCATAGTTTATTCCATCATTACTTAGCTTGTTTTTATGGTATGGAAGGAATTTATGGCGAGGGGTATCCACAAGACTTTTGTTTCTGGTTTTTGTTGGCTCAGGATGTTGCTTTATAAAATGTTTTTGCTATGTAAGTTGGTAGATCTTGTTAGTTTCTACCGTGTTCATCACAGTCTCAAATCTTTTGTTGGATCCGGTGAATGGCTGTGAGCTTTCTACATTATTGGATTGACTGCCCATGGGGATCCTTTGGGCGTTGAGTTCAGCTGGCGACAGCTATAGGGCCCTTGATAGTCAACTCTTCCCAATGGTTAGAAGTTACTCCATCATTTATTAACGAGGAAATCAATTCAGTCGGTTCACAGGCGTCAAGCTTAGGGTGGGGGTAGGTAGTAGGAGTTGGCTTAGGTGACATTGCAGTATCGTCAGGAACAATGGTGACCGAGGTCCTTATCATATCAAATGAGCTGTCGAGATTCACCTCAAGGTGCCCAGTTGCCACATTAGATAAATTATCTTTGAGCTTTGGTCTGAGTAGCCGTTTGAGCCAGTACTTGTGAAGAAATATCACTAATGGATCTTTGTAGAGGTGTGCGATCTGGTTTAGTCAAAAGGGCTTTGAATTGGGTCCACTGGGCTATAGTGAGCTGATTACTCAACAATCAGTTCGTGGATTCCACAGTTGAAAATGTAAAAACGATCGGGCAGCAGTGTTTAGGCGATTTCTGCTTCAAACGAAAGCAATTGCATTTAATCTCGGACATGTCGTAGGCCGTAAGCGCTACAGTTTTAACTGTACCAAACTAAGTCTACCAGAAATGTTAAAAAAACGACCACATTTCGTTCATGTACCTCAGACGCAAACGTTTGAGTACACAAGTTCAGTCGGGAAAGGGTTGCGACCGAGTCTGAAATAAAAAGTACAAGAGTCAGAAGAGTAAATTAAAGTTGGAAAAGACAATCAGAGACGCGAAAAATCACTTTGATCAGGTGACACGCAAATTCATCCGTTTAGT